TCTGAATTGCTCAACTATTTTATCTATAATGTTTGCTCTGCATTCTACAATGAACAGTGTGTAATTTTGTAATAAAAAATATTTTGCCTTTTCTTTCAGTGTCAAATCCGAATACAATACGCCATGATATATTCTAATATCCGATATTTTCCTCACTTTGTAGTTTACAAAATGAGATCGTTTGAAGCCTATTCATTTTCTATTGTAACCGCACTGCTTTGTATATGTGAAAGCAAAGATGACGGTACAGCAGTTCAAGCACGAGTTCTCACAGGAGTAATACTGCAGTAAAATGACTATTATATGTAGGGCTTTCGGATGCGGGGTTGAAATGGTGTACCCGTCACCCATTCGTTCTTTAGCACGCAGCTGCCCCGCGTCATTGTCACGGGCGCCTGGCAGCTGCGCCGATCAAAGCGGCATGACACGGCGTCAGGGTTCCTTTTTCGGTTGCGTCTCCCCAGCAAGAGGGTGGCGGAAGGGGCGTAGGCAACCCGCAGCACGTTTCTCCCAGGAAACGCTGATTTAGAGCGGTGGGAGAGTGGGGATGAACCTGTCTTCCAAAAGAGCAACGCTAAGTTAATCACCAAATAAGGTCGGATTACAGAAATTTTGGTAAAAACATTTTGTTAAAATGTGTCGTATGTAATTTTGTTTTAAAACAGCTCAGTTTAATAGGGAAAACAGACAAAAACACTCAAAAAAACTTTATCTGAGAGAGTACTAGTTATTTTTAGAAAGCTTTTTTCTTATTTTATCATATTTTCCTCATAATATAATATAATATGTAATAAAGAAATAAAGGACGCATTTTCTGATCGACTAAACAGTATTAACCCATACGAGTACCATCGAATACTTGAAGATTTTAGAGTATTACATGTTTGATTCTATTTTTCTCGAAGAAAGGAATTCAAAAAGAACGAGAAATAATACATTGCTACAAACAAGGAAAGATAGAAAGGAAGGAACAAATATTGCGTGTATAAATCGTGTTCATGCGTGTACATGCGGTGAATTTTGTAAAATCAAGTGACTCCCGTTCTATTGCCGAGTGTCATGTATTGCCTTTATAGTATTTGTTGAAAATGATCACAAGATAACACTCTTGTAAGCTTCCATGAATTTCTACAAAAATATATATGAAACACTTACGAAAGTATCTTTGGAGTGCTCCTATCGTCGTTTCGTCTGATCACATTTTATTCCTACACCAAAGACTTACTTTGGTGCTAGTTACACAAATAACTATTTAAAAGGTGACGCATCGAAGTTAACGGCAAAAAAGCCAAAACTGAATATAAATCGTAGTATATTGCACATATAAGTCATGTTTCCAAATCACGCCTTAATAATTTCTAAACGTCCGGTTGAGTCCTAGACAGAGGTCTTCGTCATATGCTGAAAAACGTCATATGCTGAATAAGTTGCAGACAATACACATTTAAATAGTAAAATATTCTTAAACAACGTATTGTTGGCACAATAACTGATGATTTGCGCAGATCTACCATGAAAATCAACAAATAAGGAGATTTTCGTCCAACAAATTTGCCTACTGAAACTCACCGTCGCCATATCGTCAGCCTAAAGCGCAATTTCAAGGAGTATAAATCGCGAAACTCGTTTATTTGTTTTAACCATGAAGCCGAGATGCGATCTCTCGTAACGTGAACAAATGATCTCCATTTCCTTCCCACAGTCAAATATGGAGAGAAGCCTCGGAACTAATGTAATACTATACAGTCATCAATGATTTTTTCTCCGTTTTCCCTCACACTCTAAACAAATCTCTTCAAATTTCTTCGTCTGTCTCAGGAACCAATAAATACTTTCGTCCTAATTACCAGTTTGGTATCATAAAGGCCCATTTCCCAAATCTTTAAATTGATCATCCATCCTTTGCGTGTGTTGATACCAATTATCTCCATTTTTATTTATTTGCTTCCAATTTCTTCAGCTCTTATCTTCTCATTACGAATATGATCTTCTTTCGTGCAGCCCAGCCTTCTCCTCAAAAACTTCATTTCAGCGGCCCGGATTCTGCTCAAATTTTTTTTGTTGGTACCCAGCTTTCGCTTCTGTACAGAAGAGTTGGAAGAGCTATGGTCTTATAAAACTTTATTCTTGTGTCTTGTCTTGTCTTGTTATGTATATTACCACAAATCCTTTGAAACTTTGCCAATTTAATGTTGATATCTTTATTGGTATCTTGATCGACTTGACAACCTAAGTAATTGAAATTGGAAATTTGCTCTAAGATTTCTGTGTCCAAAATAATTTTTGGCCTTTTTTAAATGTTTTCTCCAAACTGCAATCAAATTTGTTTTTTCTTTCGATATTTCAACATCATATTTTTTACATAAACGATTTAAGTGGAATAAAGCATATTGTAAATCATTTTATGTTTCCTGGAATATCAAAGGATCTTCTGCTTAGAGTAAGATATTTAAACTATTTTCTTTTGATATCCTAATACCTTTGTGAATTATTTTCTTTCATTTTTGGATAATGTCATCGATATAAATATTAAAAAGTGTCGGTGATACTGGGCAGCCTTGCCGTACTCGAAATAAGATCACGAAATTATTGTAAGTACAATGCAATAATCTGCAATATTTTCAAATTAAGGAAGTGAAATTAGAAATGATTTGTGAAGATTTCTATTTATGTTTTAATCGTGCCTCTTGGCTACTTTGTACATCTAAAACCGCAAGTCAGATAATATATTCCTCTTCTCAAATACTGACGCAAGATCTTGATGACTTATCAAGAATATAAATTGCACTCCTCAATGCACATACCTCAATCACATTTTGTCCATGTAAGCAACGATGTTTCTGTTCTATTGTTGATTTCTATGTTAAATTAAACAGGTTTACGCATCTAGAGACCTGTATGAATTCCTAATAAATTCACAAATAGTTCTTGAGGCGTTCGAACGTTTTGAGGCGACACAAGTCCAAATTGCTAACAGCAGTCGACAAAAGGTAGTGCGAAGGATAATTAGAAAGGCCAGAATCACATCTCACTTCTCACTTCTCTCGCTCTTCCGTGCCCTCGGATGTAATATCAAAATAATTGACAAACGAATAAAATCTCAGAACTTTGAACTTGAAGGTCGATAAGTTTAAATGACCCGTAAGCACATTTTCCAGCGAAACTACTCTTCTTCTGACAACCGGTAATAATAACTTCTCACTTTCCTGGAACTATAACAGGTAAAAATTAATCAGATACCAATGAGATATTGAACGAAATATTTCAGTTCGTTAACATTTCGGAATATTTACGATACCTTATCAGGATTTGTACACGTAGGCTTCCGTGGCTAAAGCTCATGACTTCTAGGCTGTCATAAACTCTACCCTGACCAAGTCAGGGTAGTCACTACCCTGAAGAAGTCTACTCTATGACAGGCGAAACGTCGGCCTCTCTGCCATCGACGCGGCGTCACCCGGACAGCCTAGAAGTCATTAACAGGATTTATTAAAACAGTAGAATCAACACTTTGTTGTGTGACTGCTACATGTCTATGTATTTTACTAACTGATAACTAGTTATTTATATGGCCTCATAAGTGGATTAAGTAGAAAATTAATTTTTTTGAACAATATAATTAAGCCAAAATTCATTTACATGTATTTTTGAAGCATCGGTTACAAAATCCAGCCCGTATTATTGTAATTTGTCGGTAAGTCCAGAAATTGTCTTCTGCACTTTCACTTTATACAGCCGCGGATCACACAGGTAGCGCGAAGTGGCCGATCAGGAAGCTCAGGTATCATCTCCCCGGCCCACGCCGCGGCAGCTGGATCTGTCGGCCGAATGGGAAATCGCCGTAAATCGAGGGCAGCGTGGCCTGGCGCCAGAGACAAGCAATTCGGGAAGGGCCGAGAAAGCGACATCGCCACGAAAGGCGACCGCCCCGGAACAAAGCGACTTTTTTTTCTTTTTGGAGACGACAGACTACTCGCTGCCACATGAAGTGTCTCTCCTGAAGGGGAGGAACAGCAAAAGAAGGTAGTCTATTTCTCAGTAGCTCGAATCACCGTTGAGTAGTTGAGCGGCCGAGCAAAGAAAGCATGCCCGTTGGTTGCAGTGTGTTCAGAAATATCATTCGAGTTATTCAGAACTGAAAATACTACTCTACAGAAAATTAATTTGAGAATACTATTACTTTTATTTGTTAATGCTGCACAGGAAGTATCTGGTTTTAGACCTTAGATCTTCCACGCTTGGCCTGCAGTGCCTTATTTATGAGCAGTTTTGAGAGTTCTTTGTTCAGCATTATTTTTTTCGTATTTTATTTTCTAGAATATATTTGTATTTAACATTAATAACCAACGTAATATGCAATTTTATAGAAACTTATAACTTTAAAGGCAAATGTTTTCGAAAATGATAGCGATATTTTCCATTACGTCTTCTTTCCTCGTAACAAGTAGGATATACATCATTTCAAAAGGGAATAGACGAGAAATCCATTACGTAAATTAAAAATTAAAACACAAAAACGGTGTGATTCATTTTGACATGTAAAATCTGAGAGAGATTGTATCCTAAATTTTGAGTCCCTACTTACTGTGAGAGTATCACTACCAAAATACAATACCTGAGAAAGTATAGGCAATGTGTATAAAGAATGTTAACATTCTGTCAGTGAATCGGGAGGTTGTCACGAAGTCAAGAACTTCAAATAAAATCTGCCGATCTGAAAGCGAACATTGTGCGGTTACAAAGGCAAGGAAAGCAGCAAGAAAGAAACACATTAGGAGAGCCGAGTGCGTGACGTCATCACACCGCCTTCCGCCAGAATGAATAGTGAACCTCTTGGGAGCCGAATTTCGCGAGTTTACTTAGAACGAGCAGCTTGTGAGACCTAGCCGAGGCATCTGGCGCGTCTGCGGAAGAACAAAGCAACTTTTTACCGGGCGGCAGCAGTGGTGGCGGCGGTGGCGGGACTGAGATATCTCTCCGTGCGCTGCACAGCGTAAATCATGCGGCGACTCCAGCGCTGTTTAAATCATGCAACGGTGGCGCTGCTTGCGGTGGCGGACGCGGGCGCGACACGCCAGCGTGGCCTGGCGGGTGAGGCAGTCACAGTGCGGCAGGCGGCGGAGACGAGATAATCGCCGGGCCACAGGCGGATGCGGCGAAGGCGAGAGGACTGCGTTGCGAGCACACTGTTGGAGATGCCTACGCAATGCGCGTTTTATTTCAAGGCAGTGGAAGGGATATTTTTCGAGAATACGCAAATGCTGGATTAGAAATTCAAGAGACATATTATACTGGATATCGATTGATTGTTGGCGGAAACTGAGAATACTGAATCAAAAATATTGATGAAGTCTTAATGAGCAGCTGTTTTGAAGCTAATGTCGAAATAAAAAAAAATTTTTAAGGAGTATAGTAAATTTAGCTTTTAGCAACGTTTATATAGAATGTAATGAATTGGAGAAACGGATTGGTTTTATTCTGTCTGCTTATTGCCGCTTGGAAAAGAGTAAGTGAAATCTCTCTAAGAATTCGTTCATTAATCAGCGGTTTCCGAACACGTTTTTTGTTTTTAATCACCTAACGTAATCTCTTCCACTTTCTCTCTGATGTGTTTCGGGATAGAAAGATTTTCATGAATATTTTAACAACGCGAAAATAAAATGTGGCAAAATTAAAATTCTGAAATTACAGATCATCGCGAAAACTGCTAATGACGTCAAATTACTACGCTTTATGTTAATTCTTGCAATTTGGGTCGTAGGAACAGTGAAAGATTAAATATCAAAAATTTAGTTTCAATTCATTTATATGCACATCCAATTACGTTTCCCTTGCTAAAAATATTCCTATAAAGATTTATTTCCCTCAATAATAGGCACAAAATATAATATAATTGTCAATCAAGGTTCAAAATCCCGAAACATAGCTCTTTATGGTGAATATTGTATTTTCATTTAATTGGACGTACACTATGTCATTTTATCGTGTCAAAACATATTACTGTTGTCACGTACTATCAGCGTCAACAAACAAGAAATATCTCACATAACATTTCGTATTTATACATTCCATTTTCAGTTCCTTAATTCTAGATTCGAAGCTTATAAATAAAATAACAGCATCAACAAGGGTCAAAGAAACTGCACCAAAGTAAGCGCAGTGGAGAGGAGATCGAACAGAAGGAAAACATTAATGTGGTGAGAAGCAAAGAGAGTTAGCACAAAGGATAACACGAAAAGGGTGAAGAAATAATAATGAGAAAAAATTACTAGAAAGACAAAGGTGAGTGAGTGAAGAAGTGAATAAAAACTAATAATTGAATGAAAGTGTGAAACAAAGCGTTTGAGATGCAATTTTGAAACGAAAACGCCAGGAAGATACAAAAATTGAATGAAAAGTTAATTAAATAAAAAAAAGAGGGAAACAATGGGATAAACCGGAATGAAAAAATTAACTGAAAAATTATAATAATTTCTGGGAAGAAAGGTAAGAAAAAGATAAGAAAAGATAAAACAGGTGAAACTAATAAATCAAAATATGAGCGAGAATGAAAATGGGGTTCGAGGGGCAGCAGGCCGACTCTGGAGGAAACAAGCGAGAGGCAGACGAGGGAGCTTGGGCGTTGGCGTGTACGGCGTGGGCTGGGCCGGGAGAGCTCTTCGCGCGTGATTAAAAATATTATGAGAGAAATGCAGACTGTGGTAGAAGCGGCTTCGCCTGAGCTTTCTTCTTGGGCGCCGCCCCTCTTCCTTGCCCTCGCTCAGTGTCCCGCGTGGATTTCCTCTCCCAGAAGAATTCAATTAGGCCCGATCTCAGTTGCTGCTTTCACCGCTCCCATAATTAAAAACGATGATCCTTAGATTTAGTCACTTTATTCTCGAATGAAAGTTTCCGTAACTGACAACATGTATAGTGTATTTTTTCCAGCGAATTACACACTACGAAAATTAAAAACTCTGCAGTGCATGTGTGAATGAAAGTGAAGGAAGTTATCCAAGTATGCACATTAACCTTGTGTTCTGTCTACCAAACGACTGTAACATCGAATTCTTTTCCGTTTATAACATCCCACAAATTAAAGAAAAAAAATCAAAAATAAATATTTTCAAAATATAAACAATTAAATATTTATTTAAATATATAATAATTTGCTTTTAACATTAAGAGTTGACTATTATTGAAATTATTAAGAAAAAAAAAGTAATGCGAATCCTTCCAAAGCGTATTGCACAGAGGCTCAGAGACTGTAGGTGTAGTGCATTTTTTACCGAGAGAGGTGGTTTTCATCTTCCCCCGCTGGATGGCTCGATACGGCCGTCGGCTTACGGGCTTTACTCCCAAACAGGAATCTCCCACCAGCGGGGCACCGCCTCAGCCGGGGCAAGCACTACGGTCCTGGCCTCCCGCCGACATGTATGGTAGATTAATGCATGAATGTGTAAGCGAGCAAGGGGTGATGATAGGTCAAGGAAAAGGAAGAAAGATCGCGCGTGGTTCGTGGCCCGTTTGCTAGGATACTGCTCTGCCTGGTCACCTGGTTTTGTTCGGAGAAACCATGGAAAACTACCGATCAGAGCAGCCGGGCGTTAGAATTCTCCTCCAGACAGCGATTGAATTCAGTATCTAGCTAGTGTCGAACGGCACTCGAACCTAAGGTATCCCGATGAGAGAAGCTGCAGTGACATCAGTTGATGCCCTGAGTCATCTCTCCCGATGTATGGTTGAACAGAATATACCATTTTTCTGTCTCGGTTTTCCAACACAAATATCTAACATTTCGTCACACTTTTCTTATTTTTTATCCGAAAATGTGCGGAAAGCTGTACAAAGATGTCCCGTTTTCAACAACCGCTCTTAACGATTTGATTTGTGCGTGTGCGTGTGTGCGTGGCGCGGGGGCGTGACGCTCGTCGCTCGTTGCAGGCGTGGCCCCGGCGGCGCGGCGCCTCCGGCACCGCAACCCGCGCCTGCACGCACTGCTGGGCGTGGGCGGCTCGCGCCTGCCCGCCGCCCTCACCGACGCCCTGCTGCAGTCGCCCGAGAAGCGCGCGCGCCTGGCGGCCAGCGTCGGCAACGCGCTGCGCCACGCTGACCTGCAGGGCCTGGAGCTGCAGCTGGCGTGGGGGCCCGCGCCGCGCCCCGCGCGTGACGCCAAGGCCTCGCTCGTCGGCCTGCTCAAGGTCAGCTCTCAATTAATTTTTAATTTAACACAAACTATTGTTAATTTTTTTAATGTAAAAATGATTATTCACACTTAATAACACTTAGTAACCGAGGTAGCACTGGCTTTCTTGTGACTACTATAAATAATATTAACAATAAAACTATTTTGCATATGTGCATATATCTAATAGGTTGTTGAATAGCAATTCATCTGCTCTATTTGTGTGTTTGTAATTGTGTAGCCCTTATGAAGGACCAAATTTGGATGAAAACGCTGGCAAGTTAACGTGTTAAAAAAAACTATGCCAAAACGGAAAAACAGTGTCTTAATTTAAGTATAATATAATACGGATGATATCAAAATATTTTTTTTTTGTTAAATAGAAAAATTGAGACAGAACTTTAAGTTATGTGGTTCCAAAGTTACAAAATTAGTAATATAATAAGTATATAATTATCTTAAAATGGGGTACCCTAATAACTCCTTCGAATTGAACTGATTAGAAAAGATTGGGGTTGAAGTAGAACTGAAATGGATGGAGGAATATAGTATAGAAAAAAGGTTAAGAGATTATGAAATGTTTGTAAAGGAATATGTGAAGTGGGAAAGGGATGCGTATGTGAGAAAGGGTTAGAATATCGAGACCAATGTTTTTAAAGCTTGCATCACAACCGTGGGTGACTTTGAAATAAAATGAAATGTGAATTGCTACGTATTTGTTCCAGGAAAAGATCGCTTTCGATCATTTGGTAACTGACAAAGTACCAGAAATTCGTTTTGGAAACTTGGAACTTCCGACAGTCATGTAGGGCAGCGTTTATCAAAACAGAGAAGTCGTAAGAAATTAGTTAAAATCTTTCATTCTCTCCATGGATGTAAAAAAGGATCTCAGAAAAAGAAAACGAAATATTTTGGGGATAACAATATTTGAAAAGAATAAGTGTTATTATCTATTCAGAAAATAATCCATGAAAAATAAACACCCAAATAAACATTGCACAAAATCTTTGATGTATTAATAATATTGAAATATGATTATATCGAAGTGTTTTTGGCTGTCGTACTTTGTTAATGATTAACAACCTGAAACATCCTGACATATTCATGAATTTATACAGTTCCATTTATACAAAGTTTAGCGCCTGCCTGTAATTGGCCCAAACGGAAATTGCTACAACTCCCTCCTCTCGTGGGAATGCAAACTAGTTGATGCGAAGCCCTTCATCAGTGCGGGCCGTCGACAATTTATTCGAACGAAATACTTTGAAATTCTACTGTATGGGTGTGTTAAATGTTCATCGTGTAGAAGCAAAATACTCTTGATCAGTAACAGATCAGTATGTGATGGAAACTACTATAGACCAATAAAATCAAAACGTTTGGTCTCAAAGAATGAAACTTAAAACATAATTCAATATATTCAAATTGTATAGGTACAGAGGATGTTCGAGTTTTTTAATATCTTCGTATGAGTATTTTTAGACGATTTCTATTTAGTATCTTAAAGCATTTATTGTTTTCCTGCCACATTTATCAACTCAATATGCTTTTAAAAAAGTTAGTCTTATATTTTTCTCCAATATTTTATAAATCATTATCTTGAAGACCACTTTAATCAAAAGAAGTGTAATGATTGTACGAATTTGAATAAATAGCTCTTTGTCCTCCTCAAATACTAAAAATCGAAACGTCAGAATGCAGTATTCAATGCATCTTTGCTAGTTCTGCTTGAGTCTAAGAGCGGTGGTGGTGTACATGCTGGGGACTGTCGCAGGCTCTGAGGTACGAGATCGACCAGGAGAGCGACCTGTTACTTGAGCGGGGAAAGCGCGCCTACGACGTCTCCGAGAGCATCCTTGAAGACTACACCACCAGCGAATGGACGCCCACCAGGTGAGTCCCCACTGCTGGCATTATTGCAAAATGTGTTATTCATGTTTTTATGAGTACTGACTTACCATATTCGTGGGTGAATATGACACCCATAAATGTCATTTGATATATATATATATATATATATATATATATATATATATATATATATAATGACGACATGGGATTGTGCAACCCCATAATGCCACCGTCTAGTATGTGTGAACACCCACAGGCAGCAAGAATAGCAAGCGCGGCGAAGGCTCTTAAACGCGCGGCCTGGTATCCGTTGCCCGAGTTAAATAATGTCGATGGCTAGTCGACAGATTCTCCAAACGGTTCGGTGAAATGAAACTCAGAGAGTAACAACACACTAAGTTTATTACAGAATCAATATACAAAGTAACACAAATTTCTAATGAAAATCAAAATGGTAGTGAACCGAATACAATATTTCCTTACAGCTATATACACGCTACCCCCACTTCTGTTTCCAGATAGAGGTTGGAGAAGGGGTAACACTTGGCATTGCCAGTTATAGCAAGCGCGCTCCGGGTGGCCCTTATCAGGGAAGGGGATGAGCGCCTCAGGCGAGGGAACTCGGGATATCACTGCGGGTGAAAAGTTGAAGTGACCCTTTGAATTATGTGTAGGTCAAAGGGGCAGGCTTCAGTATCGACGGAATATTCCAAGCCCTATCCGGTAAGTTATTGGGGTCACAGAAGGCGCATCTTCCTCCGATCCCAAAATACAACTTTACGGGGACGCCATGTCGTTTATTTTAATTGAAGGCGTAAGCCCTCTCTTGTTCTGGGGTACATGGTGCACTACGCACCGTCTGTACGTAGGGATATAACACCCGTACTAGACGGTGGCGAACTAGCGAGCAACGTTTTCCTCGTGGAGGTTTAAAAGAGGGGAAGCAACCCCACCACTGCAATTTCCCCAGGCGTCGGGCGATATATACGCGAACCCGCAAGCGGAAGCTCTCTTGCCACCAATCGCCGAGTAAGCAGCTCTTCTCTTTTGCCACCGCTCGCTGAACTAGCAGATCTTTTGCCACCGCTCGCCGAGCAGCTGTTCGTTATCATTAGCTCAGATATTGTTCGCCACTGCAAAGACTACTATATAGGAGTATTCGGCGTCGAACAGACGTTCTAATCAGTCATCCGCGAGATAGTGTAGATTCAGTAAAGTATTCCTTCAATTAACGACTCAGGAAGTAAACGTTACCCGTTGTAAGAGAAGCATTGAAAGCTCTGGTTTAGCAAAGTAGAAGTAGCAACGAGCGAGGAACTTGCGGGATTATTCGGTGAAGTGCAAGGGACATTTACGCAACGTGGGCGTGGTCAGAGGCGCCGGTGGCAGTCGAGGGGGAAGAAGAGGCCGAGGACCCAGGCGCACGATGAAGAAGACGGAACGACTAGGAAGAAGACCGGGAGAGGACGCAAGAAGACAACGTAGACGGCAGAAGCGAATCCCGTCTCTTTACGACGCAGAAGCTGGGACCGAGCGGCGTCGACGCAGCGCACGACCCTCAATGCCAAAAGTGGGAAGTCCACGAGGTTACGGTTAGGGCGCGAGAAATAGGTCAAGTTCACGTCGGCAAGGAAGAATTAGTATAGGAAAGTGTTAAGAAATTGAGGACACGGGTGGCAACAAATTGCAGTATCATAGTAGGAGACATTTTGATGCACTATTGCCCGCATAAAATATTCTACATAGGGCATTTGTTATTCTGTTATTTTCAGCCACAGTTAAAGTGTAAATTAGAGTGGTGCACTTGTACACACTATTTTTCTTTTATGTGATATTTTGAAACAGGAGATTCTAAATTGAAAATTTTGGTTTCGTGTGCAAGGTAAAAAGAATAGCATAGATTTAGATATATTTAGTTTTCCAAGGGAATTCCCAGTGGAGATTAGGGCAATCATGTCAGAGTCTCAATTTTTGGTGTAAATTATATGTGTTTATTCATTTGTGTGTGTGTGTGTGTGTGTTGTAAAGATGAAGCAGGTTAAAAGCAATTAAACCCTGTTTAACTATTGCAATGTTTTTTGTGTCGAGGATTCAGACCTTTCTCGCAAAGATCCTGCGTCCCGAGAATTTTAAGCTCGCTTCACGAGCAAATCTTGATAACCCGCTACTCCTCAACGGTGCCGCCGTTCAGGGTGGTAAGTTAAGAATGGAAGGACGGGTTAGAATATTTATATATATATATATATATATATATATATATATATATATATATATATATATATATATATATATATGACTTTACAACGAATAATTACAGTATGGCGATCACCATTAATCATTGTGAGTTCCTTTTTTTTGTTTTTCCTTCCCTAACATTGCGATCTCCTTTTTACTCGTTATGCAATTACTAAACAATTGGCCCTATCATTTTACAAATACTTATCAGTTTAATCATTACTGTACTTTATTCCATTGTAATGTTATATAAATACTTGAGCAGTGGCCTCCAAGGCTGCCCTCTCTCCAACCGGCATCCCCTCCCCAGATTCTCGGCTTCGCCCGATGGCACTCGGGACTATTCGGCGCCGCCCGAAGTGGGGCAATCGCCGTGGTGCTGATACAATCCTTACACCGCCGGTGGTGACGTCTGACTTGAATTCCCCGCCCTCGTATCGCAATACAATTATTCGTCTATACGGTTAGGAACCAATACCAAATTGTTACACTGTCATCATCTGGTTCATAGTCACTGCTTCTATTCATTCATTCGCACTGTTTCTTAACGGCATGTGGCGGTTACCCCTAACCAGCACTGTCTCCCTTTTATGTTCTATACTAACACTATTGTACTGGTTTATTCCACGTATAAATTACAATTGTACCTCGTGTTCATCGCCTTGCACCTTCGCCAATCATATTTCCTATCACTTTCGTCTTATCGTCTCGATACAACATTCCACCAACTCGCCTCTGACGCATTCATCTGCCGTCCACACTCCTCGAGCTTCTACCCGCTACTACTTCTCTGCTGCCAACGAACGTGTCGCTTCTTCTGGCGGTCAGCGAGTGGACGATCCGTTCCCGTTCGTTCTTGTTCGGTTCGCGACGCCGCTTTGTTGCACGGCTTTTAAAATGTTAACCATTACTTGTTTACAGAGACCACTCGAGTCTCTCTCTCTCTCTCTTTCTCTCTCTCTCTCTCTCTCTCTCTCTCTCTTGGTTGGTTTGGAAGGTTCTCGAGCTTGAAGTCTTCATAGAAATTTTGAGAGAGATAGTGAGAGAGAGTGGGAAAGTAAGAGAGAATGAGTAAGAGAGTGAGAGAGAGAAAGCATTAGAAACATTGTTTTCAATAATAAAATAATAAAAATAAGATGTTAAATTAAAGATAATGTGTATATTGTAATGTGTATATTCTTATACACACACATTTTAGTGCATTTTAATGTACTCTTATATGCCAGAATAGTAAGTTTGGTAACTGCAAGTCCATTTCAAGGCAAAACTACATAATTCTATTTCCTGCTAGACCTGGTCAACTTCTAAAATGTACAAATACAAATCAAACTACTACAAAATATTAGTTTTATTTTTAAAGCCTCCTGTTCGACCTGCATCTCTTCAGTACCCGATGAGCCCACAATCCGCTGGCCAGTCTCCGCCACTGTAGCACCCTCACGTGCTCTCTGTTGCCCGCCCCTTTGCCCTCTCGACCTCCCCCTCGCCATTTTCCAAGCGGCCGGCCGGCCCGAAACCTGCGCGGCGCACACAAATCACGGGCGCGGGTTTTCAGCGCCCGCGCTCATAACGCGAGATTTATGTTGTCAATCTGCAATTTACTACGTTGCAAATGGAAAAATGTCCGCTTGCGTAGTAGCCCCCAAGAGCTTTCTTAATTATGCTCTTTCACTAATCTCTGTACGTTTGCTACTGAGGTCGGACAGCGAATAAGAGCAGTAAGTAACGTTTTGAAACAAGAGTTGCCGACTTTAGGGTGTACAGGGAAAGAGACGTCGTAGCTTACAAAATATTTTATTGTCATAAATAGGTTCGTTCCCTGATTACTCGCTTTTTAAACCGATAATTCTTATATGACGTCGGGGTAGAGGCTCTTACAAACACTTGACAATGTTGTAAATTGTTCAACATGAAATCGAATGAATTTACCGATAGCATCATTAAAGTTTTAATTCCATTCTTGTTTCAGAATATTTTATTTATGTACAGGCAAAATATGACGTTTGTAAATAAATGTTAATTTGAAAAGGGAGTTTAGAAATGAAGTTGGCCACCCCTCTTAGTTTATGATGCATGATTGCATGTGTGGGGAGGAGATTTTTTTTTAACATCTCATCGTGTCTCAAGAGATAAAAAGTTCCGTCCCATCAAAAATATTGTTCAATATTTAGTTTTTGTAAACAATATTTTTATTTTAAAATGCTTTCACATTTCTTACTGAAATATCGATTAACGAAAGCAATCCCATGTTTACACAAAACCATGCACGTCCAGCGATTCAGGAAACAAATCCAGGAGCTCATTGAAGCGAAATGACACATCATTCCGCGGACTGCTTCGCCTAACACGACAATGGCGGCGGCGGAGCCTGGAAATGAAAAGTTCGCTCACGTAGCTGCCTGATTTCCGTACGCGACAACCCGTCAGTCCGCGACAGCACGGCCTCAACGCAAATGCTTCCCACGCACGTCCCCAAGCCCTCGCCAAGTTAATGTAATTCACGAGCGTCATTCCTCACATTAATATATTATTATTATTATTATTATTATTATTATTATTACTTGTTACTACTGACGTTTAAACAAAAATTGTAAGCAAAATCGTTTGAAGATCTATACTGTAGATCGGTCAGTTACTACTATAATAATTTACTACTCCATTACTTAATCAAGTGGTTGTACATTTAGTTCAAGTTTAATGTTCAATAAAATTGTAAAATGTGAGAAAACGGAAGATTACTAAAATTGTTTTATTAAATGAAAAAGTGTTATGAAAAATTACATTGGTATTATATAACTATAGGTGTT